ACCATCAGTTGCACCAGCAGGTCAACGTTTACACCATCAGCTGTATCAGCAGGTCAACGTTTACACCATCAGCTGTATCAACAGGTCAACGTTTACACCATCAGCTGCATCAACAGGTCAACGTTTACACCATCAGCTGTATCATTAGGTCAACGTTTACCATCAGCTGTATCAGAGATCAACGTTTACACCATCAGTGCACCAGCAGGTCAACAGCTACACCATCAGCTGCACCAGTAGGTCAACGTTTACACCCATCGGTTGCACCCAGCCGGTCAACGTTTACACCATCAGTTGCACCAGCAGGTCAACGTTTACACCATCAGCTGCATTTCAGCAGGTCAACGTTTACACCATCAGTTGCTCCAGCAGGTCAACGTTTACACCATCAGCCGTATCAGTAGGTCAACGTTTACACCACCAGCTGCACCAGCAGGTCAACGTTTACACCATCGCTGTACGTAGGTCAACGTTTACACCATCAGCTGTACGCAAGGTCAACGTTTACACATCAGCTGTATCAGTAGGTCAACGTTTACACCATCAGCTGTATCAGCAGGTCAACGTTACACCATCAGTTGCACCAGCAGGTCAACGTTTACACCATCAGCTGTATCAACAGGTCAACGTTTACACCATCAGTTGCACCAGCAGGTCAAACGTTTACACCATCAGTTGCACCAGCAGGTCAACGTTTACACCATCAGTTGCACCGCAGGTCAACGTTTACACCATCAGTTGCACCAACAGGTCAACCGTTTACACCATCAGCTGTATCAGTAGGTCAACGTTTACACCAACCGCTGCACCAACAGGTCAACGTTTACACCATCAGCTGTATCAGTAGGTCAACGTTTACACCATCAGTTGCACCAGCAGGTCAACGTTTACACCATCAGTTGCACCAGCAGGTCAACGTTTACACCATCAGCTGTATCAACAGGTCAACGTTACACACATCAGTCAACCTTGCAGGTCAACGTTTACACCATCAGTTGCACCAGCAGGTCAACGTTTACACCATCAGTTGTACCAACAGGTCAACGTTTACACCCATCAGCTGTATCAACAGGTCAACGCTTACACCATCAGTTGTACCAGCAGGTCAACGTTTACAACTACCAGTTGCACCAGCAGGTCAACGCTTACACCATCAGCAACAGTCAACGTTTACACCATCAGCTGTATCAGTAGGTCAACGTTTACACCATCAGCTGTATCAGTAGGTCAACGTTTACACCCATCAGTTGCACCAGCAGGTCAACGTTTACACCATCAGTTGCACCAGCAGGTCAACGTTTACACCATCAGTTGCACCAACAGGTCAAGCGTTTACACCATCAGCTGCATCAGCAGGTCAACGTTTACACCATCAGCTGTATCAACAGGTCAACGTTTACACCATCAGTTGCACCAGCAGGTCAACGTTTACACCATCAGCTGTACAGTAGGTCAACGTTTACACCATCAGTTGCACCAGCAGGTCAACGTTTACACCATCAGTTGTACCAACAGGTCAACGTTTACACCATCAGCTGTATCAGTAGGTCAACGTTTACACCATCAGCTGTATCAGTAGGTCAACGTTTACACCATCAGCTGTATCAGTAGGTCAACGTTTACACCACAGCTGATCAACAGGTCAACGTTTACACCATCAGTTGCACCAGCAGGTCAACGTTTACACCATCAGCTGTATCAGTAGGTCAACGTTTACACCATCAGCTGCACCAGCAGGTCAACGTTTACACCATCAGTTGTACCAACAGGTCAACGTTTACACCATCAGTTGCACCAACAGGTCAACGTTTACACCATCAGGTCACAGGTTTGCACCATCAATATCGTGGTCCTCGGCAGCGGTATTATCATTGCGGGTGGAGGTGACGGAGCCATCAGCCAGGTCCTCCGGCAGACACAATGGTTGCCAAACCCCACAAAAACCCCTAACAGATTGCCATTCATCAGGCAAAGAGACAGCGCTGTGTAATTGCCGGCGAAGAAAGATATTTCTCTCGCAATAATTGCCAGCACACTTAAAAATACCCGGGCCAGATCTCTCCGACACGCTTGCTTCAGGGCTGTCCGTCCAGGGCTGTGTAATTAAGACCTGTTTGTTTAATTACAGCCGTGTTGCAGTCAAACACACATGAAAAATAGTTCATGTCTACGACGCCGCTGTGAGGCTGTGCACCTCCAAGAACAGGTGTAATTTATTTCCCCGCCCCCCGTTCCCCACAAAGGCTGTGTGTGTGTGGGGGAGGGGGGACAGGTCAGCCAATCAAAACAAAACGTGTAAGTCTACCCCAACCGTTTTCTAGAATTACTCAACCAATCAAAATCTACGTCACCATTCGTTTAAAAGAAAAAAACCCGCAGCCAATCAACACCACCTAAAACGTCACTCATTCCCGTGTTATACAATTATTACTCAACCAATCAGGTTTAATACGTCATTCTCAGCTAATCAGACTCCACACGTTATTCATTCACTTTTTCTAAATTATAATTGAGCAAAACAAATTTTAACAATACAATAATTACTTTTTCAGGAATTAATTGTTTTGTTTATCTTCAGTTAACTTAGATTAAGTTTGACTGAGTCTCTGTATAAGAATGATTGGGTTTAGTTAGGTTAGGTTAGGTTAGGTTAGGTATGATTGGGTTGGGTTTAATGTATGCGTGGGTTTATGTTTTGTCATTTATATGGTTTTACTTGGGTTTGGCTTGTAGGGTAAGTGTGGCTTCCTTCACTAATACTAACGTGAAAGTTTGGTGATGAAAAACCGGTCCGATTTTGTTTGGTTCGCTCATTTGTGGTTTGCTTTGATTTGTTTCGTTTTGATCAAGTAGTAGTTGTTGGTGTTGATCAAACTTGTTCGGTATTTTGGATAGTTTGGCATAAAAGTTTCGTTCAGTTTATCTTTGGTTCAGCACAAGTTTATTATACGATTTAATGATTTGGTTATGGTAAAGGTTCGGTTTGGTTGTGGTGGTCAGTGGTTGTGGCAATGGTATAGATTCGGTTCGTATACTTTATAGTACGGTTTCGTTAAGTGTTCATCAAGCGAGTTAATCTTTGTCCCTGATTTGATTAAGTTAAAATATTTATTATTTTTTTTTACTTGGAAACAGCCCACCTGCGCACAGGTCATCGACCCCACAACGGGGCCTAGGGGCGAAAAAATAATAGTAAAAATAAATTAAAAATAGAAAGGAAAAAGACCATATTAATCTACACCACGAAGATGCCGGAAAACCAGCTTTTTGAAGTGAGACAGATTGTGGAGTATGGAAACAGAAGAAGGAGAACATTCCACAGTTAGGCTGTGTGAGGAAAGAAGGAGGTACTACTATAATGGGTTATTCTAGTGTGACCGACATCCACAGAGAAACGGTGGGCACCGCGGGCAAGACGAGCGTTAAGCCCACGGCCTTGCCGGCGGTACACAGGATGCCAAATCCACCGAACACTGCCCGTTAAAGTACCCGTAAAAGAGAGAGAGTGAAGCAACATTGTGCGAAGAGAAAGGGAAGAGATTATCAATTAGCGGATTCGTTAAAAAACTTCTCGCTAAGGATACGTCAGTATTCAGGTAGCCAGTCGACGCGTGGTGAGAGTGACGTTACCGGAGAATTAGCGTGTTTTACTGTGATTGGCTGAGGTGTTCACTTTAATGAGGAGTTAGCCAATGCGGGCGTGTTGCTAATACCATTCACTTATCGAATCTTTCATAAGATCATCTTCATTATACACTAATTCGTCGTTCATTCTTGTTCATTCAGTCATGTTATATAACCTTGTCAATATTTACTCACTCATCATCTTTTATTATTTCTTTTTATGGTCTTTTTATTCCCTAATTACCTTCCTTCTTCATATATTCACTTGTGTCCTCAAGCATTTGTTCACTTAATGCAAGATTTATTATTATCATCCCATGGGTGTTTACTACGGGTACAGTGAAATCAGTCATAGGTTCCAGAGATAACTTGGTGAAACACACACACACACACACACACACACAGCCCACATAAACACACCAAATTAAATCCCGGCACATCCAGCTATCATGCAAATTCAGCTAATCGTCGTGAGCAGAGGCACGCACGCCGCCCCCTGCGCAACACATCCATCAAATTAGAGTTTCCAATTTTTCAGTTAAGTTTTTCTTTGTGGTAATAAAAGCGGCCTCCCCTAAGCGGTGGATAACAGAACCAAGTCGTGGAGAATCAGGGTTGATTTAAGTTTTAAAGCTTTGGTAATTAACTTAGGTGAAGAAGGAATTGTTTTAAATGTTTCTCTCTATTCTGTCCTCATCCCATCCTCCTGTCCCTCCCATCTTCCTAACAATGCAGGATAATTAGCTTCATACAAGTAACTTGAATTCTTGGAGAGCGCTTTTGAGGTGTTTAGCAAGCACACGCACAGGTAAGAAATCCTGTAAGTAGGTGAAGGTTCATTTTGAACTTCCAAACACGAAGACCCCAGATTGTTATTAGCTGAAATTGCTGCCGTGTGTCGTTGGGTGTTTGTGGATTCTGACATTGTAATTGGTCTTTACGAATAGGAACTACTAGTGTTTTATTTTGAAAGAAAATTGAGTGAATTGGTAGTAATCATTCTGGGTTCATTAGTAGAAATCGTGATTTTTTTTAGTTCGTTGACAACTATTTTATTTCTTCTTTCGTTTTGCCCAACATCTTAATGAGTGACCATCCCACCTGCCCCTTCCCTCCCTGCCCCCCCCTGCCCCCCACTCTGGGCTTGGAGGATAAATACAGTACTCAACGTTAATTACTGATCAGAATGGAAGCATCAATTAAAACAGACAGTCATGACGAGAGTTGAATACCTGCACCACCGTCTCTTACTGAAGCCACCGGTTCTGCTTGGTTCGGTGTGTTTCAGGCTGGTTCTGGTGTGTGTTCTAAGCTCTGGTTATTGGCGTGTCTGGCCTTTGTTGTTGGCGTGTTCCTGGCTCTGGTTGTTGGCGTGTTCAAGATTCCTGGTTGTTGGCGTGTTCCTGGCTCTGATTTGACGTGTTCCAGGCTCTGGTTGTTGGCGTGTTCCAGCTCTGGTTGGTTGCGTCCAGGCTCTGGTTGTTGGCGTGTTCCAGGCTCTGGTTGTTGGCGTGTTCCAGGCTCTGCGTTGTTGGTGTGTTCAGGCTCTGGTAGGGCGTGTTCCAGGCTCTGGTAGTTGGCGTGTTCCGCGCTCTGGTGGTAGCGTGCGTTCCAGGCTCTGGTTGTTGGCGTGTTCCAGGCTCTGGTTGTTGGCGTGTTCCAGGCTCTGGTAGTTGGCGTCGTCCAGCCTCTGGTTGTTGGCGTTCCAGGCCCTGGTAGTTGGCGTGTTCCAGGCTCTGGTTGTTGGCGTGTTCCAGGCTCTGGTAGTTGGCGTGTTCCAGGCTCTGGTTGGCGGCGTGTTCCAGCCTGGTTGTTGGCGGTTCCAGTCTGGTTGCTGGTGCTTGCAGGCTTTGGTTGTTGGCGTGTTCAAGATTCTGGTTGTTGGCGTGTTCTGGCTCTGATTTTTGACGTGTTCCTGGCTCTGATTTTGGCGTGTTCCAGGCTCTGGTTGTTGGCGTGTTCCAGGCTCTGGTTGTTGGCGTCAGGCTCTGGTTGTTGGCGTGTTCCAGGCTCTGGTTGGCGTGTTCAGGCTCTGGTTGTTGGCGTGTTCAGGCTCTGGTAGTTGGCGTGTTCAGGCTCTGGTAGTTGGCGTGTTCAGGCTCTGGTTGTTGGCGTGTTCAGGCTCTGGTAGTTGGCGTGTTCCAGGCTCTGGTTGTTGGCGTGTTCAGGCTCTGGTTGTTGGCGTGTTCCAGGCTCTGGTTGTTGGCGTGTTCAGGCTCTGGTAGTTCGTGTTCAGGCTCTGGTTGTTGGCGTGTTCAGGCTCTGGTTGTTGGCGTGTTCAGGCTCTGGTTGTTGGCGTGTTCCAGGCTCTGGTAGTTGGCGTGTTCCAGGCTCTGGTAGTTGGCGTGTTCCAGGCTCTGGTAGTTGTGTTCAGGCTCTGGTAGTTGGCGTGTTCCAGGCTCTGGTTGTTGGCGTGTTCCAGGCTCTGGTTGTTGGCGTGTTCCAGGCTCTGGTTGTTGGCGTGTTCCAGGCTCTGGTTGTTGGCGTGTTCCAGGCTCTGGTTGTTGGCGTGTTCCAGGCTCTGGTTGTTGGCGTGTTCCAGGCTCTGGTAGTTGGCGTGTTCCAGGCTCTGGTTGTTGGCGTGTTCTGGCTCTGATTTTGACGTGTTCAAGACTCTGGTTGTTGGCGTGTTCCAGGCTCTGGTTGTTGGCGTGTTCCAGGCTCTGGTAGTTGGCGTGTTTCAGGCCGCTGCTGCGAGGGTCCTATTGGACACGACTCGCCTCCTTGGCTGGCCATTACTTACCCAGTTTATAGGGCAACTCGTGGCTGGTGGGAAGACATGTATTATGGACTAAATATGGTGGGCGTGCTGTGGGTTTCTGTTACTAGCGCCACTGGGAACTTAAACCATAATAGCAACACCGTGTTTGTGCTACCGAGGTGAAGCAACAGTGATGGTCGTAGGTAATCGTTTGTAGATTTGTTGCAGTGCAATTTTGTGTTTAATCACCTTCAACGCAGTTTCGTGTACAATTGCCTGCAGACTTGTTAAATCAGCGGTGCGTGTGTTGCTGTGGTTACGGGTATTGTTGTATAAACAAAGTTGGAGCATCAGGTGTGACAGGGGAGACTGCGGATAGGTGTTAGTCACAAACTTAATTTCCTGCTTGCTTTATTTTTACATAGAAAGATTATTTTTACATGATATATTGAAGATGTAGTTCTTTTAATGTACATTATACACTAAAATAACTAATGATAATAGTTTGATACAAGCAAAGTGTGGGGAATACACACACTTGTGGAAGCACAGTTAAGTCTGCACCATCTTGGAACTGTCCTCAACATTATACAAATCATAACTTGAGTCACGGGGCGAGTTAAGGTTTTGACGCAGTAGATGTTCTCTCATATCTTCATCATGTTGTTCTTCGCTTCCTAGTTTCTCAGATGGTTGACCTTAAGCCGCTACACTTCATGGATCGAGGATAAAAGACGGGTTAAGTTCCGATGTTATTAAACAAACGACGAACTTAAGATCCGTCGAGAACTTTCTTGTCTCCAGGACCTACGATAAAGAACTTTCTGAGTGTCGTCTGAAGCTCACTTCACTGGACCTGGTTGTTGTGTGGTAAGCCAGGCTTGCCTTCTTACGACTTGTTGTTTGTTGTGTATTAAACTCACAGCAGTGGAAGTATTTGTTTACGAAGCTTCAAAACTTATAAATCGAATTTGTTTCATTAAGCTGATAACATTTCAAGTATTAGGTGTGTGTTAAGCTGACAACCTTGCTTAGTGTTTGTTATGTTAAGCTGACAAAACTTCGGGTGTTTGCTGTGAGCTCAACTGACAACAGCAAGAAGGCAGTAGTATTGTGAACACTCCCTCCTTATAATGACACAGTGGGTGAGTTATGGAGACACACAGCTCTCTCCTGGGTAATCCATAACATTTGTTTCTCAGTTCTGCAAATGATGAAATGCAAAAAAACAGAAAGAATGAAAAGCAGCTTTAGACGTGTGGGTGATAAATGTTACGGCTATTTTGACGGGAATTCTCCAGGAACAATGGTAATAAGTGACCTACCCGCAGTAATTCATCCTTTAGTCAATCCTGCCTACTCTCTTATGTTGCCATTCTACTACGGCTCAGGGCATCATAGTGCTACAAACACCTGTTATTTATTAAGGACAAACTATGATAATGCAAGACGAATTATGTCGTTTCTATGGACTCATTTTGATTTATTTACGCATTTCATGTTTTACCTTTGGAGTCAGGAAGGTTACGAGATAATATATGTTACGTGTTTATTGTTAAAAGAAACGTTGGTAATAATATATTTATCCATAGCAAGAGACACCTGGTGAGGATATTACATGGTAAGAAACATTGATTATATTCATATGTAGATTATACAGGTATTCATACATAACAAGAAACGTTTATGGGTAAATAACACAAATAATATTCAGTCTATATTTTTGTGTTTCTCCTTACTCATAACGTATTCTGGCTAAAAATCCCAGGTACTTTATTAGTGTCTAGGAGGAGGTAAATACAGTAGTAGATATACGGTTTACCGGGCGTATAGAGCAGTGAGCACAGTACTGTATAATGACTCTCAAGCCAACACTCATATACTACACTATTACCTGGTTATTAAAGGTATATAGCTCTCAGGACATGTTAACAACCATTAGGGTATATGAAAGGAAAAACCATTGCTTGCTTGTTGTCGTCATCGTTAGCCAAATCCATGTGTCATATTATCTAACACAAAATCGTAATCATCTGGGTGAGTATAAATCTGATTATGCATTACAGTACAGGTATAGTCGCGTAACCTGCTTACTCCATGTTATTAACTTCTCGCATTACTCCATCCATCTAGACATTAACTGAGGTAACCTAACACACTCCAGGAACCATCTCCTTTTATTTCATATCAATTTTGACAACTTTACGTAAACTTCCTCTTACCCAAATGAGGTCAACATTTATTTACATTCTCAGATCATAGACGTAGAGAGAGAGAGAGATAATTAAGCCCTGTCAAGAATAATAATAAGCATGATGTATCGTTTCACACTTTAAAATAGTTTCCAAGTCTTGTGGTATAAAGGGTTCATCCTCACCAACAATCCTTTTAATATGTAATAAACACTTGTCTGCTCTTAAATACCTGTCATGCTCTTAAACACCTGTTCTCTTAACGTATATTGAGCATCTAAAATATATCTAAAACACCAGTCTTTTTAACATATATTGAGCACCTAAAATGGTTTGAAACACCTGTTCTCTATCTGTGCTGTTCTGTTATGGTCTAATATTTTTCACTTAACGCATACTGTTCAGTAACGAACCTCTGTAGTATTTAACACATGTCATGAAACACCTGGTCTTGTAACGTTGGATCGACATCTGTCATGGTCTAAAACACTCAAAGAACACCTGTCATTATAAGATATGTCAACACCTGTATGGTTTCCATTATTCTCGAAACATATTGAATACCTGACAGAGTGTGAAATATCTGTTCTTTTGATATGTAAACATCTGTGTCAGACGCAATAAATACACAGTACGTGATAGCATGAAACACATTTCTTTAACATGTGTTGATGACCTGTGATCTGAAACACCTGTCACGGTCACCAATTGTCCATTTAACGTATAAAATAATATCACGGTTTAAAACACATGCGCTTGTAAGCCGTTGTAGTCGTGCTGTAATTTTAACGCAAATGTCATGTTCAGAAACACCTGTTCTCATATATTGAACACACCTGTGGTATTGTAAAGAAATATTTTAACAAACTACGCGTACACCAGGAGTAGTCTTAAAACAACTGTACTGTATAAATTGTCTAAATTCTGAAGAAAACAAAATGTTCACAAAATAGGATTAATAGTATTCCTCACCTCGGGGTATAAAAAATTCTCTATAGGTATATGACCTAGAAATAGTACAGTATGGGGTGTACTGGTGGGCTGAATATATACTGTATAATGTGGCGCTGATGAAGGTTAGTAGTTTCTTCTAAAAGTTTACTATTGAATGGTGCGTGCGTGTGCGCGTGAGTGCGTGCGTGCGTGGTGCCGATATTTATTTAACACACTCAGTTCCTTGTATCGAGGTGCAAAGATGTAAGTTTTGTTTTTGTTGATTTGTTTTGTTACATTTCATTCTGTTATTCCCCGTGTCTAGTAGACCCTTCACGTTTCTCTGTTTCGTTTGTACGTTCAAGGGTTTCGTTCTTTGAGTTTCGTTGTTTCGTTCCTTGAGTTTCATTGCTTCGATCCTTGAGTTTGTGTTTCGTTGCTCAAGCTTTAAAATATTTTATTCCTTTTGTTTCGGGTTTCATTTAAATTTCAGGTATTTTCTTCTTTAGTCTTTAAAATTACTTTTCTTGCTTAATGTTTCGGTTCGTTGTTTCGTATTACAGTCCGTTGTTTTGTTTCTTATTGATTATTACAGTATGTTGTTCTCTCGCCTGACCCTGGGCACGTAGGCTCTTGTGTGACCCGGGTGAACGCTCGCCTTGTAAGGAGGAATATATGCATATTTACTGATACTTTCTTTGTACCTTCAACGTTCACGAATTTTACTTTCTCGGCGTTCAGGTACTCCTTAAGTGTTTGTTGTTGTTGTTGTTGTTGTTGTTGTCCGTCTGAGCCGCTCTTAACTGACTGAATGGCGTTCTTGGCGTTCAGTTAATCAATACATTTTTGTCCGCCTGAGCCGTTCTTGACGGCTGGCTGACTCATAGAAGTATTTCGTTACCTTTTGGACCGTTCTGATTGATAACGTTCCTGTCGTACAGTTTATTCATCAGACTTATCTTGTTATGTCTTTGTATTATTCACCTCCGTTGTGCCACCTATAGTGTCGTAACGTGAGCAGAACAGTTAAATAGGTTATTAACATCTCCAGTTATAGAGAATGATATACGCAATTTACTAACCTTTGAGATTACAACTTTGTGTCAGTGTTAAAGTGAACCATTTAATAGCGTTCTAAGATCTCCAGTTTGAGAAATTTTTAACTTAAAATCATTAGGGATTCTATCTTTGTTATATATCTTAAGTGCGTCATTTACCATCTTACAACCACATTTAAGTAGAACAATTAAGATACCAGGTTAGGTTAGGTTAGGTTCTCACACCTCAGTTTCGGGGAAAATAAATAAGATAGGGTCTTTTGAAAATCCATCTTGGTGCTATAAACTTAAATGAATCAGCAAGGTCATACGTCTCCAGTTTGGGGAAAAGGATTAACGGAGGAACCTTTTAGGATTTAGACTGTGGTCGTGGTCTTGCTGCCTCCTTTTTATCTTTCCTGTTGAGTTGAAAAAGTTGAAAGGTTAATGATGCCTTACAAGTTTTGGCTGCATAAGAGTGGTTCTCTGACCCTTACTGCTTCGTAACGTTCACTTGGAAGTTTATGTTACTGTTGTGATGGTGATGTGTGGTGTAGTGATGATGTGTGGTGATGGTGTGGTTGTGTGTGGTGGTGTGTGGTGATGGTGTGGTGGTATGTGATGATTATGGTGGTGTGGTCCTACATTATATATATGTTGATGGTGATAGTGATGTATGGTGATGATTGTGTGGTGATGACCTTGTGTGATGATGTGTAGTGATGATTCTATGTGTGGTGGTGGTGGTGATGATAGTGTTATGTGGTGATGGTTATGATGATGCTGGTGGTACTGTGGTTTGGAAAATTACAAAACTAAGTTATATACAGTACTTGAAA